GTGTTCTTCCGGCGATCGTGTTTACCGTTAGCTATTCAAACGTAAGCTCGATTCGTTGCGTTCAATGTTGATTATTGGATAACATCGACGATCGAGTTAGCGTACTCAAATGTTGCGTGCGCGGCTCGGGGCATTTTTAACGACCGAACAAGTGTTTTCCGTGGGCGAAACCGAATAAAGGATCGTGTGACGTCAACGAAGCGTCGAGAATTTAAAAATAAAAAAACGATTCAAGCAGAGTAACGGCCGACGGGAATTTGCACTGCGCGAACAAATATAATACCGAAACTCACCGGCATCGACGATTTCGACAGCGCGTTCGAATATCTATTCACTATTCGGACGGCAAATCGCATCGCACAGTGTACGGCGTGTTATTATCGCAACAATCACGATGACCGCGCGAACCGCGGCGCGTTATCGTACGCGTTAATCGCAGAACCCCCCACCCCCCCCCCCCCCCCCCCCCGCCGCCCACCGTCCGACCGCCCTCGATTCGGAGTGTCCGGCGCCCGTGCGTCGTAGCAGGCCGGATTGAAAACAGTGTTGAATTTTCAACCGTACACCGACCGTACGCCGTTCGTTATCAATAACGTCGCGCGCCGGTACGACGCGCACCCGTCGAGCAATCGGGGCCCGGTGCCACACGCGCGGTTTTTTTTTTTTTCGCGCGCCGCTACGCTGCGGCACCGCGATCGCGGCGTGAAGTGTCCGCCCCCCGCAATCGATGGGCGCGCCGCACGCGTAACCGGCGGCCGACGCGCGCGTTCACACGCGCGCGGTGGTTCGCGGCGCGAGTTCTTATCGCGCCGCGGCGGCGGAAAGAAAACGCACCGCGCGCACCGGGCCCCGCGGCGACGCGGGCCGTCGCGACATCGCCCCGGGAACCGTATCACGGGTGTACCGCGGACGGCGGTGACGACGACCGGTCGGCCGCGAGACCCGTGTACGCCCGCGACGCGCGCACCGCCGCCGCGGTACTCGTAAACGCCGGTCCGGTCATTCGTTTGAAAACGAATGACGTCGAATCGCGGTGCGATATTATAACAACACGAATTGTCGTCCTCCGCGTTTTTTATTATTATTATTATTATTATTATTTCCCTCCCTCCCATCCCCTCCCCCCCCGGACCACACCACCCCGCCACCCGTCGATATCCACTCCGCGGTCGCGTCGTACGGCCGTGCGCACTATTATGTACCTGTGTACGCGTATTTATTATGACCTCCGGAAAGTTCAATGTTCGTCACACCTCGTTAGATTACTCTGTTACACAGCATGTCGAAAATGATACAGTGACGATTTGTTTGTTCAAAGCCGTTTGCAGCGGGCCACGGTACGCGTACACGTATATATGTGTATACGTAAATGTATACGTATACTTTTTTAAAAGCATTTCAAATGAGAGGGGGGGGGACGTTCGAATTTATCGAATGAAAAAAAAAAAAAAAAAAAAAGGCGTGTTTCTTTAATATATAATATCATAGCGGAGTATTTCGTATTGTTATTATTTTTGTTCAAAGTTATTTTTTCACGGGATACGCTCGTGTTATATCACATTGTTATTATTTTCGCCGGTACTTTTCGCAAGTGTATATAATATAATAATATACGCATTTATAATGCAGCCGCGCGTACATAATATTATGTACGCGGTGATAAATTTTACGGTATGGTTTTTTTTTTGTTTTTTTTTTTTTCCACTGTCAATTGCCTACGTGCAATACGGTATAAAGGACGGTAAACGCGTTCGATAATGGAGATGAAATTTTTCCAAGTATATATCGTACGGCATCGCGAAACAGCATGTGATTTTTTTTTTTTCCGAAATATTATCGCGTACCGCGGCCGCCCCTCTTTGTTTACGGCAACGCGATTTTTTCGCGCGTTTAATATACCTGTCTTAAAAAGGTTAAAAAAAAAAAAAAATTAATAATAAAAAATTCCGTCCCTTTACATTATACTTAATAATATTTATATTTTAAACGCGGCGTAATACGTTTATTGACATTTCGTTTAGTATAATAATAATGTACTGTGCAAAATTCAAAGGGGAAAGTTTAAACACAATATTAAAATACTCGCGCGCATACATATTATAATACCTACCCGCATTATACTGTACGGAAATAATATTCCGATATTATAATATTATACAAAAGTTTATTTTACACTGTGTTCCAACAGTCTGCGCGCGGTTTTATGATTAACCCGCCGCCGCCGCCGTGCCCGTGAGTATGCGACGTTGCGAAATTCTTTATAAAACAATAACGTACAGTACACGAAAATATTCTATTTTGTGTTTTGTCATTATTATCATATTTTATTTTTTCCAGTGGCGTATTGAGAATTTCTCAAAAAAAAGAAGAAAAAATACGAACATACTTGGCACGCGGGCGCAGCCACTGTCGTAGATGGAAAGCTAGGACACAGAAGAGAATTTTATGTGTGTCTGTGATCAACGATAAACCATGGCTAATGAAAAAAACCATTCTGAACGGAGTTCAGTTAAAAGTGATGCATAAGTATAGAATAAAGAAACAAAGATCAATAGTTAAAAGAATGTATTGAAATCGTAAATTATTTTATTTTAATAAAGCTCGGCCTATAGTATAGCTTTTTCGACAATGTGCTTTTCCAAACAACGACGATTGTTTGAAGAAGATTAAAATAATAAAAACTTCAGAATAACAAAAAATAAATAATAACGGTTGCCAATGACAACCTTATTTTTAATCTTTCAATCTTTTTTAACCTAAAGAACCAGATTTTTCTCATGATACCTTTTGAATATTAATAAGAATTTTAAAAAATAATCACTTTAAAGTACCAACCAAAGAGCATTTCCTTTCAGAAGTGCTATACTTGATAATCAGAGTAAGCTTTCCGGTAGAAAAAAACCGTTCACATAAAAAAAATAATAATAATAAATAAACATCATTGTAAAACCAATACCCAAAAAGGCCGACCAACAAACAAGTAATACACACGATTGAAAATGTATATATGTTATTTGTTTAATGGTATAAATAAAAATAAAGTAACATTACCAGGCAACGTTTCGCATCTTCTAAAATCGGCCTTACACATCGTAATAATATTTCGCTTTTCTCTATTTTTACGCGCGCGTTGTAATGCAACAAATGCATTCTGCGCACCGACGGTCGTGGACTCTCCCGGTCGAGTTTAGGGCAAAGAGATCTGTATATCTTATAAATAAGTGTGTTTAATAATATAATATGCCCCGACTGAATGATTTATTATTATTTCTTTAATATTTTAATTTCTTACAAAAAGTCGTCGAATAGGTTTAAAATCAAGAGAAATCAATTCGATACACATTTTCCTCGACTAAAAACGACAATAATATTATTAAAAAGTTTGTGACGCCGCATCACCTGACTGTCCCTTATTGTCGTATTAATATGCAAAGCGTTTCTAGATACGGTCACGGTAAAACAGATTTTTAAAAATACATAAATACAGTCGATAGACGAGGAAATGGAGGATGATGACCGAGCAACCTCTACCCCGGATTCGCCACTGTTTGTTAAGTCATTTAATAAAAAAAAAAAAAAAATTCGGTTATACTTACGGTTAACCTACAAAGTACATATCATGACGCGAATATACAATAATCAACCTAAAGTTCATTTATAGGTTATTTTGTCGTGTCGTTAAACGTAGGGTCACGATACCATCGAATTGAAATTTATCCGCACCTGTAATTTATTCCATTTATTTAACACTCGAGTTTTACATCTTCAAGTCTAAACTATATGCAACGACTATTATTATACGTGTACGTTACTATTTATGTAGCGCCTCCTAGTGGTCAAAACATTTCGTCGGACCGCACACTGCTGAAGTGTAACCTGACGTTAATACAGTATACAGGCTGTAAATAGTATTAAACCAATTATTAAATAGAAGGAAAACAAGCGTAGTGTTTAAAAAAAAAAAAAAAAATACGCGTACTTAAAAAAAAAAAAAATAAAATAGATTGTTTATAATAAAATGCAGTTTTTATGGCATACATTTTTTTTATGATTTTCGATGAATCGACGCGGCCGTCGTTTGCTGTGAACAATGCGGAAAAAACATGGTACATGTAAGTCAAGTGTCCAATAATTATGCGAAATCCCGATGATTAAAAAAATGTCACGTTTCTCATATTTAAGGGGTTTACGTTTAGACAATATTAACGATTATTATTATTTTTTTTTTCTAAATGACAAACAATTTATTTTCCATACGAATAGGTAATTCTGAGAATGCAAAACCGAAACTTATCGTTTTAACGAAAACCGTATTGCGCCGACAAAAAAACGATTTACGTCTTTCCGTGTTTACGGGTGCGTATTAGTAGTCGCACAAAATGCCGTACGGCGTACACCGAATAATCACGATTAAAATACGTTTTCGTCTCGTTTTACGGCCCGATTCGTACACATCAAAACGTCTGCTGTACCAATAACGGACGTGGAAACGAAAAGGACAACGTTCCCGACGGAGCAAAACGAAATCCCGGGACGGTGCCTATTTGCCGCGCAAAACGATACGAAATAAAATAACAATTACCCACGGTACCGTAACAGATTTTTTCGCGAAACAAATATTTTACCGCGCTAATTATCGTATTGTCAATTGTGGCGCCGTCGCAATCCAATGCGATTTATCAAGTCGGAGCCAGAGCCGGTGTAGGGGCGGCGGAGCTTTTAAAAACCCCCATGCCGTTCGCGCTTTTTAAAACTGTCTTTTCGGGGTCCAAGTCTGTCGCCGGTCCCAAAGCGCGTTTCGCGGGTGTCGCGTGCGTTCGAATCCGGGCCCGCCGGCCGTCCCTGTCGCGTGCCCGGGTCCGGGGCGCCGCCCGGCCGCGGCCGCCGACCGTTCGCGACGAACGGCAACTCCACGCGCGCGCGTTCGCGCCTCGGCCCCGGTACCTGCGCGTACTGTGCGTGCGCCGTCTACGGGCGCGGGCGGTTTCGTAACCGCGTGAAAAAAAAAAATAAAAAAAAATAACGGATAATAACAAACCGTACGCGTAAACGCGGCCGCGGCGCGGTCGGCGCGTACGCGTTTTAAAAACATCGCGCACGTATCGTTTGTATCGCGTACCTCGTACGGCCGAATAATACGTATGTTACGTCGTGGCGAGAGAGAGAGAGACAGAGACAAAACCCGCGAGCGCGTTTTCGATACAATAATAATAATAATAACAATAACAATAACAATAATAACAATAATACTGTATAATATTTTTTTGGGAATTACGCGATTCGTCCCGGTTGTCCGATTTCTCGTCTCTCCCGACAATAATAATAATAATAACAACAACAACAACAACAACAACAACAACAACAACAACGCCACTCTGTAAACGCGTACCTTATACATTATAGCAATACGTATACTTAAAATAACAATAACGCGACGCCGCAGTCGGGTATGTTGCTCGACGCCAAGGGCGCGGGTTCCTATAACATTTTCTATAACGCAATAGCACGCAGAGCGTACTCGCGCGTTTTCGACATTTTCCTACGCGCGTAGGAAAATGTCGAACGCTGACACGCCCCCGTATATTATGATATCTGTACGTTATAGGAGAATTTTCTCGTTCGCTTCTGTACGGTACAGTTTAGTTTTTGCCTGTGTTCGGTGTTACAGCGTAGAGTTGGGCGATTATCCCTGCACATTATTGCGAACCGGCGATCGCGTACGTCCGACCTGTACGAATATTTCCGGTAAATTTTATTTCGAATTTCGTTGTTCGGACGTTACGTATACATTGCCGTTTAACGTTCTATTTGTTTACGATAGCGTAAACGGATCTCTAGGGATTGTCCGTCCCGCTTTCAAACTATTTTTTTTTTTTACTATGTACCATTACTACTACTATTTCCACTATTACATTGTTTTTTACACCCCGAACCGTCTACCCGTGGGAGAACCGCCTTTGCTTTGCTTTCCCGCCGGGCCGCAATCGTTTAACATTAATAACAACAAATAACAATATTTTATTATTTACAATATAAATTTACGACGTTTTAAAGTACGATTGTGCATCTGAGCCTTGCTCCAGGCACTTCTGTTCCCTAGACATTCTCTCCTCGGATCACCGCCTTAGGTGTCACGGTCTGCGATCATCCACCTTGGTGCCTCTGCTGTTTCTCCTTTTCCTTGGTAATCAGTATTAGCGAAATGTCCTACTCAAACGGTTTTTTTCTCGGATAATCAGCACGGTGGATACAATCGACCTTGGCGTGACGTCATCGCCCACTGCGATTTCCAACTCCGCAAATCTTCTCGTCCATCGACCGTATCTGAAGAACATATTATTTTCCGCATTAACAATTGATCGACGAAATCGATTAAATTCTAGAAAACGAAAATATTGTGAAACACATAAAATCATGCTGGATGAGATGGTTGGGTCATGCGGACCGAATGGACGAACGAAAAACACCAAAGCGCGTAACGGTTACAAAAATGTAATGAATTAAAAGACGTGGTGGTCCAAGGAGTAGATAGATAGATAAAGTTAAAAAAGGTCTATTACAGATGGGTATACAGAACTAGAAAAATGTTGCTAAAGATCGGGATCAGCAGAGAAGAATTGTTTAGGAAGCCAAGTATATTCATGTCCTGTAGTGCTTATAAAATAAATAAATAATAATATACTTTTAATTTCGTAATTTTTTTTTTTAAGTTTTTTTAATAACGTAATATGTTGTTTTTTTTTTAAGAAGAAGAAAACGAAAAGAGGTCAATATGCAGCAGATCCAGTCGGTTTTACGCGATTCGCAAATTTCAGATTTCGCTTCAGTTTCCGCGGACATAATATTGCAGGTATAAATAATTACGTATACAGATACGACTTTTTTCCAACGAACCGATTCACCTCGGCACAATATCGTGCGGTATACGCGTACCCATACCCATTCCGAATTCCGGCATGCATAGGTATACCTGTAATGTGAAACCGTTTTGTGCGTTATTGTACTCGATTACGCAGCCGGTCGTGGATTCGGTTGTCACATAATCGCTGATTTAATCGCGAATTTCTACCGCGTATAATATTTTATACTGTGCTGTTATAATAATAGTAATAATATCGGAGGCATTATTTGATTTTTATCTGGAAACTAGCGCTGCGACGGCCTCGGCAAAAGGGGGTATTTACACGCGTTTTACCGGGAGCAAAAAAAAAAAAAAAACCAACCATTATTAATGCGAACGATCTTATAACATATACAACAGTAACTTACTGTGTAATGGTTTTTTTTTTCTTATTATCAAATACGACTGTTCGCGTATTTTATATATTATTATAATGTGTACCGCTGCACGTATCGTGGACCTTTGCGCTCGAAAAAAAAAAACTAGTAAAAAATCGCCCGGACCGCGTAATAGCCACGGAGATTTTATCGCGCGTGCCAATTAATATTTTCGATTCGTATGACCACCGGTCGTTGTTAGGTAGGCACTTATAATAGGTACCTATGACTGTATAGTATTATAATTGTGCGAGCAGGTATTATAAACGTCGATGTAAAAGTGATTTTTTTATAACTTTTTTTTTCCATTTGAAAAAAAAGAAATATTCGAAAAATTGTGTATGATTATTGTTATTATACTTGCGTTCGTTCCACGTGTAATATTATAATAATGGGTACCGGACTTTTCGTTCTGTGTACGCAATCACGCGACTTAAAATCATAATTTACGCGTACAGTCCCAATCGAATTTTTGAACATTATAACGCTTACGGCTGATATACTGCCGTTTATCTACGCATTATAATAATATAACCTGCAGAACCTGTACACTAATAAGAATTAACACGGGCGGTATTATAACATATGATAGTAATTTACGGCGTCTATCGGGTAAGTCTGATCGATTGACCCGACTGGACCGAATGGATCGACTCTTTAGTGGTACGAACAATTTATAATATCAACACCGTCGAGTATATGAACAAGTCTATTTTAATTGATTGAATTTAGTAATCAATTAATTTATCAGTGATCATCATTTGTATTACTATCATAATACGATACTAGGATAATACAGTGTGATTTCTTTTGTATCACGAACCACCAAATTTCTCGCGGAATTTTAAGTGAATTCGTTTTTTTTTTTATTTTTACCCTTATGAAATCTTTATTTTAAATTTTTTCCCTCATTCCATATACTCCATATACTTTAAATAAGTATATACTTTTGTTTTTTAAATATAGGAAACCCCTTTTTTAAACACAGATTCAAATAGAGAATACGTTTAAAAAAAAATTTTATGTGTGTAAAACTAATATCAGATTTACCGTTTATGAGTTATAACCGTTTAAAGTTTAGACCCGAGGAGTAGTTAAGTGTAATAAATTACGTATCTATTTTCAAATGATAACTTGATAATATTCTTGCCTACTCCTCTGGTCTAAACTTTAAACGATTTTGACTCGGAAACGGTAAATCGGATATTAGTGTTATGCATAGGTACCAATATTTCTAAAAAAAATATTGTTTATTCAAATGTGTGTTCAAAAAGAGGGGGATGTTTCCTATTTGAAAAACAAAAGTATACAATTATTTAAAATATGTGGATTGGAAGTAAAAAATAAAAAAAAAATGATTTTAAAGTAAAGCTTAAACGATTCCATAATGATTAAAAGAAACAGAAAACAAATTCATTTAAAATCACCCAAGAAAACTGCTGGTTTATGATAAAAAAATTATCATGTATGTAAATTCACATGAACCAAATGTTATGGTTAGAAAAATAAGTGTATGTTCAATAAGTTACTGTTGTGTGTAGTTATTCTCTAAGAATATTGTATTTTGTAATGTTTTCAAATACTGGTAATAAAATTGATATTAATCACTAGTCATTCATTCAGTTATTCAGATAAGTCAATTTGAAAGTAGAATAGACTCTTATACTCGATAGTAGTGATATATTTTCTCGTTGGCATCGCTGTGAAATTCGTGGTGTTGGTATATCCGATAATAACCACTAATATTATTTTCTCGATGACCAGTGCCACTGTGGGTTCATCCGTTCAGGTCGTTCAGTTCAGTCAGATCAGCCAATTAGACTTACCCGCGTCCATATTCCAAATTACTGTAGATTTATAATGCATAAACCGAATGCGCCATAATATATTATGCGATGTATGATAGACGCGTGATCGGCTCTGTCAATGAGGTTCTAATATTATATTATAATGGGTAGGCACATACTATATTGGTAATAGTAATTGAATATAATGATAAGGATAACGTTAATGAAATTTAAATTGGCTACAATGCATTCAAAGCATCATGTTATCTATAAATAAATTACCATCAAGGAATGTTACATAGTTGCGTATGACCTCGTTGATAAAAAAGTCAACTATGAGCCAGTCTCCCTCATACGTAATAAAAATTGTACACGAAACGAGTCGATTATTGCACTCTCTACGCAAATTACCGACTACAATATGGCAGTGGCTAATCGCGTGTGCACTACGATACACTTTTTGTGTGTTAACGAAATTTCAAATGTGTTCTATGAAAAAAATTAAAATATACACCCGTCACCTGCGTTTTTATTATATAGGCATTTGCGTTCGCCGTATCCCGACCCCCTTGGTATCACGATCGTTATCTAATGTGTAATCAAAATCAAATGCATGTGTGCACTGCAGAAAAACTGTCAGACAAAATAGCCGTTTCAATGCAATGGCTGTCTGTAGTGTAATGATAAGAATTGAAAACTGTCAACACAGTAAAGCCGGAGGCCAATACTGTCGTGTTTTTAGTTTACATCGCGGAAATGCCCTTTTCGTTTGTATCTATTGTGCATTCATGCGATATAGGCATGACCGTCAAAGGGAATATATTGTAAGAAAGAAAATAGTAAACGATAATCGCTGCGGATGCTGCATATTGTAATATTCGTTGTACTGCGCCAAATCTAATATTATAGCATACGGTTTATTTTGATTTGAACGTACGTTGTGTAATCACTCCGTACGTGATTTTCTATAAATCGACGATAGTGAATTATTATCACGATATATCGGTCCACGGTCTGAATTCTCTTTTGCCGTCGTGTTTTGTTTCTCGTATTTATTCTGCTGTCGATCCGTATAATATTATCAGGTGTATAGGTTCCTAAATTTCGCAATATCTTTGTACCTCGTAGCAGCTACGTGTAATACACTATTGTAAATTACGGGAATATTCCAACGAAATATGAGTTTACGCGTTTCTATTTAATATCTAGCGATCCGTTTGAACATCATTACATGACGGGTGTCTTAGTAGGGT